GAGGGCGCTTCAGAAGCCAAATCTATCACGTAATGATCGGCAACAAATGGCGAAATGCTCTCAACGACATTCATATGAAACAAGGTGCGAACATACGAACTAACCATTCCTTAATGATCAGAAAGCTTCACCTACACCTGGCAACAACTGGAGGAACATCTTGGTTTCAAGAGGGAACGGCCACTTTTATATCAAAAAGGTGAAGGATCCCGTCGCTTGCGAGTTGTTGCGAATCATGGAAATCATCAACAAATTCGTTGCTATTAGCGATGGCATCATCTCCCAAGAACCGGAAATGTTTTATAACCGCCTTACAAAAGGCACCGCTGATGCAGTTGCTGAGGCTATTGGTTTCACTGGCAGGAACACGATGCAACACAGAAACTCTGAGTCTTCGTAATGAAAGAAATGCGGCGAAGCAGACGTCATTAAATAATTCTAGCGAGGCGAAAAAATGAGCATCAGTTTCTCGTGAAAGCAACGATGCCTGGACCTCGAAACGCTGGACTTCGGCATCGCTGAAAATGCGGCAGAGAAAGAGGACTGGAAGATGCTGTGCTGCCACGTGAATACTATCGCCAGGTAACAAACAAACCCATCCCACTCGCTTGTTATACAACACTTACAACCATCTGCTGCTGCAACACAGTGGTGGCCATCTGAAATGAAGAGCCGAGCACTCTGCAGAGCTCTTCAATAGACCTGGCCCCCCGGTAAATATGCAAATGTTAGAAGTTGGAAAAAATCTAGATGTTGACTGCGCCTCACCATGATCGAAAAAATCCGAGAATTGGAACTATACGACTCAGGCAAAGCTCGAAGTCTTATGGGCATGACGGAACTGGAGCCGAGATTTTGCAATGCAAAGGTAAAAACCTTCACCGCTGAATCCACCTGGCAACTATATCTGACAAAAGTAGAAGAAAAGCATGCTAATCCGATGTGCAACTACAAAACAATCACCCTCCTGCCGGTGCTGAAGAAGGTCTTTGCGGGAACTATTCTAAAGGAATCCATCGATCCTTCGCTGTGAACTAAATAAACATACTTCCAAAGTGGGCACTCGTCCACGAAAGACATCTTTGTGCTAAAGCGAATCATCTATCAAAGTGCCGGAGCTTTTAGCTTAACTGACACGCGATGTTTCCGCACTTTCGGGCAGCCTTCCGTTCAGCTCAGCGCCAAACAATGTGTCGTTATTTGTTACCACAGGATATAGTATACCTGAACGAAGATGCATATGACTGTACTAAATGGACCGTCGGTGCTGAAAGATCGCTGTGGGACCGGTTCAACATTACGAGCGACGTTTGTCAAGGCGAGTTGCTTTCTCCTTTCTCATTCAACTTCATGACGGACCACGTTTTGTGGAAGTAAGTCGTCGTAAATAACAACGAAAGCCAAATCGTTAGTTAGCGACGCAGCTCGAGATACCCCACGGTATATCTGACGGACTTTGAGTATACCGATAATGTTGCACTGCTGAGACCCTGTAAAATCGTCACTGAAAGTGTGTGCAACACCGCTATAAGAGTGGTGTACAAAAAAGACAAAAAGAAAGTGATAGTGGCGGCTGGCAGTTCAAGGATATTATGTAATGGTGAATGCACAGATACTTTCAAGTACCTTTGCACTGTGTTGACTAAAGGTGGCGACAATGATTCTAAAGTGAATCGGTATATCGGACAGGAATCAGCGAATTATGACAGGCTGTAT